CTACCTTAGAAGGGAACCTGGGAACCCTCACGGCCCCTATTGCAGACCCTCCCTGACTTTGAGCTGTAAACTGCCTTTGCCGGGCTGCCCCGGAAGCAGGTCTGCTGGTATCCTACCGCTCTTACAGGGAACGGTGCGGGCGGCGATTTTACCCTTTCACCATAATAGTGAGGCTGGTGGTAGCCCCGGGCCGGGGGTTCAAGGCCGCCGATTCTCCTTAACATCGTCTCCTTTCCACCGCCGCAGGGATGGAGGGGTCTAAGACATCCAGCAGCACCATGCAGGTGAGCTTCGTGTGTCAGCGCTGCAGCCAGCCCCTGAAACTGGACACGAGCTTCAAGATCCTGGACCGTGTCACCATCCAGGAGCTCACAGGTCAGCGAGACCCTTAGAAAGAGGGTGGTCAAGATCGTTGAAAGTGGGCAGCTTTGGAGATGAAGGTCTTAAAGACTGCACATAGCCTGCCACAGACACGCCTTGTGAGCCTCAGAAGTCGCGTAGTCTCTCTGGCTTCTTGTTTTCTTATCGAGAACATAAAAGAATTTTGACACTGTGTGCTTCTGAGAGCTTTCTATAGCAAGGAAAGGTCCTTAGTTTTCTGCTTCTGTTGTTTCAGAGTAAAGGAATATATACATTTAAAAATAAACGGCATTTGTTGAGGACTTGCCATATACCAACTGCGTTACATGCATTACTTTTAACCCCTATGGAGTAGTACAGTTATACTCGCCTATGGAGTAGTAGTAAAATTATCATTTTATCCATGAGGGATTGAGGCTTAGAGAGGTTAAGTGACTCACCCAGTGGCCAACAGCTGATAAGTAGAGGAACAGAGTCTCAGAGTCCCAAGAAGTGAGATGAAGCTAGAAAAAAAGACTGAATAGACAGTTAAAATAAGCTCATGGGTCTACAGTCAGCCTGCTTAGATTTAAATCCTGTCATTTACTAGCTGAATGACTTTTTGCAAGTTACTTCACCTCTCTTGACCCTGGTCTCTTGGTTTTCTTTATCTGTAAAATGTAAAACAATCTCAAGGTAGTTGTAAGGATCAAACATGACAAAGACCATAGATACTTAAGAATATGCTGGGGAAAAGTACTCAATAAATATTAACTATTATTATTAATACCTGATTTTTATTTTCTGAGGGGAATTATCTCTTTAATATATTTTAAACTTTATTATGAAAAATTTCAAACATGCAGTCAAGAGAATAGCGTAGTGAACTCCCTTGTATCCATCATCCAGCTTCAACAATCAGCTACATCCTGCCATTCTTGTTTTCTCTATACCTCCATTCACCTCCCATCTCCACTCAATTACTTTGCTCTTTACTTCCTTTTTCTTTTAAGGTAAATTGCCATGAATTGACAATTTTTAATTGTCAAGTTTTTTGGGTTTTGACCACGCCATGCAGCATGTGGGATGTTAGTACCCCAACCAGGGCTGGAACCCGTGCCCACTGCAGTGAAAGTGCAGAGTCTTAACCACTGGACCGCCAGGGAAGTCCCTAATTGTCAAGATTTATACATTACAAATCTTAGCTTTTTTTTTTTTTTGGCTATGCCATGCAGCCTGTGGGATGTGGGATTTTAGTTCCCCACTAAATCTGGGCCCTTGGCAGTGAGAGCAAGGAGTCCTAACCACTGGACCGCCAGGGAATTCCCCTTAGCTGTATGTTTTTGACAGATGTATGCACTCGTGTAACTTAGATCTCCATTGTGATGTAGAAAGCTTTCATCTTCCCAGAAAGTTCTCTCATGTTCCTTCCCACTTATTCTGAGGGAAAGGGGATATTAACTTTTGTTATGGAAAACTTCAAAGTTTATGATGAACCCCCATGTACTCATCACTGAGCTTCAACAGTTATCCATACAGGGACTTCCCTGGTGGCTCAGTGGTTAAGAATCCGCCTGCCAATGTAGGGAACACGGGTTCAAGCCCTGGTCTGGGAAGTCCCACATGCCACGGAGCGACTAAGCCCGTGCGCCACAACTACTGAGCCTGTGCTCTAGAGCCTGCGAACCACAACTGCTGAGCTCATGTGCAACAGCTACTGAAGCCTGCATGCCTAGAGCCCGTGCTCCGCAACAAGAGAAGCCACTGCAATGAGAAGCCCGCGCGCCACAGCAAAGAATAGTCCCCGCTCGCCGCAACTAGAGAAAACCCGCGCACAGCAACAAAGACCCAACACGGCCAAAAATTAATTAATTAATTAATTTAAAAAATTATCCATCCATATTTAACCATGTTTTCATCTACAGCCCCATCCATTCCCCTCCCACCCCAAATTATTTAGAAGCAAATCCCAAACATATAAATACGATAAATATTTTAGTAAGTATTTTTGAAAGGTAAGGTGTGTCTTTAAAGACATAATCATACCATTATACTGGAAAAAATTTAACAATCTCTTAATCCGATTTAATGGGTGTAAGGGAAAAAAGACAACAGATTCTTCTTTGTATAAATTGTACTTTAAGAAAAAGGTGGAGGATATTTCTGATTCTTATACTGTCGTACATGCTTCTGCTCTGAGAAGACTCTTTCTGAAAGCTTTGATATTTTCCTTGCTCTTAGCTCCATTACTTGCCACAGCCCAGGTGAAACCAGGAGAGACCCAGGAGGAAGAAGCTAACTCAGGAGAGGTATGAAAACACTGGAATGCGAAATGGATTTCTGCAGGGTACTTGGTGCTCTTAGAGCCCCCAGATGTTTTGGATCTCTGGTTAACATGAGACATTCTGCATGATCAGGCCACTGTGGATCATTGGAGACACAGAAGTTGCACCTGAGGTCACAGGGTTGCTGAATGAGGCATCCATTCAAAAATGTGAAGAGAGGCTCTTCTTTATTTGAAGTGGAATTATAAGCCATTATAGGTGGGAGATGGGATGACCTGGATGCACAGGTCATC